AGCGCCCGGCGCTTCGGGAACACCTCCGCAGCCTAGGCAGCCCTGCGGGATTCTTTCCGGAGCCTCGTTTGCAACATGAAAGGAATGCAACCTGCGTATGCGTGCGCACGGGTCGCGATTTGCTGCTTCTGCGCATGATGTCATTTTGCACATCTGTGCATGCACGAGCAGCGAAACCCAGAAGTAACCCTTTCCAGTACTTCCAGGTCGCCGCGGGACGCAACCTGAAAATGCACAACCTGAAGCAAACGTAACATGAGGTATGGCTGTATCAATAATCAGGATGGCTAAGAAGGATTGAGAACAAAATTAAACAGATAGGTATCTCACTAAACTCCTTGTACTGCTTAGAAGGAAAACCTGCATTTGAGATAATTAAATGCAGATTGTTAGACAATGAATTTCAATAACTTCGTAGCCAAATCAAAAATAACTAGGGTTCCCCCCGATGCCATTTTTACACCTGAAAACCAGGACCTGTCAGGACCTGACATATGGCGAGTCTAGAAATAGCATCTGTGCAAGTCTGGGGATGGTGCAATGTGGACAGCCAATGGCAACTTATCTCTCCCATTTGACCAACCCAAATCAACACAGGTCGTACATGCTCGCAAGACTGAATGTGCTACCTTCGGCAATGCTACAGGGGAGATTCCAGAAAATACCACTTGCAGAGAGACTATGCACCTGTAGACAGAGTCATATAGAATCAGTCATGCATGTTCTTTTGCACTGCCCCTTGTATCAGACGATTTGATCTAACTTCATTAATCAGTTGGTTGTTAACAGGAAGTGGCATTCAGATGAATGTAAGGTAGCCTTCCTTATTCTTACTCAGGATGGGGATAGGATGGAGATAGTAACCAGGTTTCTGCAACAAAATGAGGATTAATGAATGTTATACCATTATTTTAATCACTAGATGCAGATTTTGCCGAGTGATTTTATTGTACTGAACTTTACTGGAATATTGTCTAGATGAAAATAAAGGTTTGAGAACTGGGATAGAATTGAAAGCACTGCAGCCGCAAGACTTACATCCCCTGCAATAGCACTGTGGGTTTCTATTTCTATTTGTATCAAGAAGGAGAAATACAGAAGTGTCTAGGATCAGATGCCACTTTACCAGGACTGATACAATCCAGGTGATTTATGCCATAATAGATGGAGTAATTCCATAGATATGGCTACCAAGGCTTCCCTTGGTGATTCCTCTTTCTTTGTGATTCAGCTTCCCTTTAAACACAGGTTCAGTTCTCTGTAAGTTCTCTGTTCTCTCAGTGAGCAGATCACAATTTCCAGGGATCAGGTAAATAATTTTTTCCCCACCAAAATTGTCACCCATACATTATTTCAGTCAGCAGAGTACTCACAAATGTTTCCCTGTTCACATTGCTTTGAGCATTTGAGATATGCCACTTGTTTTGTTCATAATTCATTTCTTTAAAATTCCTGTGGCTGAGTCGCTAATGAGTTGAGTTCTTGACATTGCCGTTCTTTGAACGTGTAAATCACTATGAAAATATCATTAGAGTCTGTAAAAGGAGTGGAAAGAGAGAAAGCAAAAGCCAGGTATGACTTATTAATTAGGTCAATGTTAAGGATAAAATTGATAACATTGCCAAAAGTTTAGCAGCACTGGAGAAGAAAGAAACAAGTGGTGGAGATGGAACATGCATCCCTGTCCTTCCAAAATCCTGCCTATCAGAGAAATAATTATTATATGAAAGATGATGTTCACCTACTGAACTGATTTAACCATTGGTTTTTAGGACCTTTAGCAGTTTGAAAGCACATCAAAGTGCAAGTAGATAAAGGTAACGGTAAGGTAAGGTAAACGGCATTTCCGTGTGCTGCTCTGGTTTGCCAGAAGTGGCTTCGTCATGCTGGCCACATGACCCGGAAGCTGTATGCCGGTTCCCTCGGCCAATAAAGCGAGATGAGCGCCACAACCCCAGAGTCATCCGCAACTGGACCTAACGGTCAGGGGTCCCTTTACCTTTACCTTTAGGACCTTGGAGCTTGGAAAGCCCCTTCTATGGTGGCTCACCTCAGAATATGGTGGCTGTTTTACCCCTTCACATGGCAGATAAAAAGCTATACAGACTCCCTCCTTGTTGTCTTCAATGCAGTTCTTACCACATTTACTTAGAGGTAGATCTTGCAAATTTCAGTTGGATGTCAACCTTCATGCTACAGCACCAGGGGTGAACCATCTGGTTAGTCCTCTTCTCTCATCACTTTCCAACTTCTTGGCCTGCCTTTTATTCGCTACTATTCCCCCCCCCCTTCATGCCTGCTTTTCGTGAATGGTAGAAGCAGATGCATAAAGGTGTATAGAGGAACAAATCTGCCAATTTCAGCTGTTTCCATTCCCCATTTGAACTTGGGACCTGTTGCATTCAAAGCACACACTCTCCCAATCATACACAACCCTTCCCAATGTTGAAATTAGAAATACAGATGCGAAGATCATGTTTTGCCCATGAGATTAGAGATGGTATAGTGCAGGGGTCTGCAACCCGCGGCTCCGGAGCCGCATGTGGCTCTTTTACACCTTTGCTGCAGCTCCGGGGCAGATACTAGTGAGGGGAGGAGGCACATTGTGCGCCCCGACAGTCCCCACTGTGGCGGGCGCTGTACTGGCTGTGATGTCGCATGGGGGCGGTGCGTGCATTAGTCACGCACCGTCCCGACGTCACCTTCCCGCCCGCCCACTACATTGTAAGGGGCATGTACGCTGGTCACTGCATTGAAAGGGGGCATGTACGCTGGTCACTGTTTTGAAGGGGGTGAAGAACACACACACACACACACACACAAAAAGGTAACTTGTTAATTTAACGTTTATTTCTATGAGGAGGAGTAATTCTGAGGGGTCAAACAAAGAAATAATAAAAAAGTGAGAAAAAAGTTATTTTTATAATGACGAGTTTTGCGGCTCCCAGTTTTTTTCTTCGGAAACGGGTCCAAGTGGCTCTTTTTGTCTTAAAGGTGGCAGACCCCTGGTATAGTGTCATGACCAAAAAATGGCTTTCTACATTTGATCTGTTATACCCCATAACAGTAATAATTTTAAATTCTCACAGCAGTTGTACCCTCAATTCACTTCTATGACCAAAATTTATAAGACTTCTGAGTCCAGCACTGGGTATGCAAAGCCACATCCAAATTATTAGATGTTATGGTTTGTAGGTGGACATGAGTATAAACTATTCCCACATTAGCATTTTCACCTACCTTGCTTTGCAGGTAGATTGCCCTGGAGAGGAATCGTGGGGAATGCCCTGCCCTCCTAGCCGCCATGGATAGGCTGAATTTGAATTCTGGGTTTGGCGGGAACCCAGAAGCCATTGCAATGGCCAAGAGGCCAAGAAGGAAGGGGCATGGCTGCGGTAGGATGGGGAGCCCCATGCTGGGCCACAAACATTGCCCACCATTGGATTGGGTGAGCGGCCATTGAGGGAAATACTAGCACTCTTCTTTCCTAATTAAACACAAAAGTGTGAATGTAACCAGATATGTTCACAGTATTTCCTGGGATTTTGATCTCGTGAGGTTAATCAAAGAAAAGGGTTATACAAATTAATTTTTTAATACATTCTTTTATTGCCCTGTGTGCACAATAACTCTCTGGATTTTCCATTGAGCCCCTTTTAAAAATCTTCAAGGAGAATATTTAACTCTGGGGTTGTTTCTTTACCTCCACTGAAGCTTTTTTTAAGAGACTGCTGAAGGTTTGTAATGATGAAGCAAGATTATAAAGAAAAACAGTCATTACTCTTGCAGCCCTTTTTTCTTCAATTAGTATTTCTAATCACATTAGACATGTTTCCAGTATCCAGAGAGGATGCCTGATCCCTACAGCTATCGTGAACCATTAACTTTAATTAAAATTTACAAGTCTAATGTTGTTACATCTGCTAAAAGCATTAACTGCCATGTTAATTACCAAAATGTTAATGTTGCGTTAAAATATGAATGTTCCCTTTTGACAGATCCTCTCTGGTCCCACACTCCACACCCCCACCTTGCTGGAACGTGTCCTAAAAACTGCAAAATCTGAAGGAAAAGCATGAGCAGGAACTGAAATAATAAACAATACCAGTAAAATCTTTATCTGAAGATAAAGCTTCCTGGCCAAAAATCTGGCAAAGATCAGTGTCTAAAATAAATACGTAATGATTATTTCATGTCTGACATACTATGTTAGAATTGCAAAACTTTATTTAAAAATTACTCCATAAGGTTGGGATAAATTGCTCCATAGAGGAACTAGATACTTATACTGCATATTCACACAATGTGGATTTTTTGGTTTTATTTTGCAGGTTAATGTAATACATAAGACTTAATTCTCAACTCCTTACAACTTTTAGGGTATTTAAGTTCAGGAGGGAGAAAGAGGAAATAAACCCTCCTTTCATTTATATTACTTTGGGAGTGGGTCTCAGAATTCATATTTGCATGAATTAAATTATATCCCTTGTCTGGGATATAAAGAAAAGTGTATATTTACGGAATGCATATTCAGATATTAGCCCTCAAGTGCAGGTCTGTTCACACAAAGTTGCAATTTCACAAACAGATTTCCTATAGAAAAGTTACAAAGGAGACTAACCTGGATCATTAGCAAGAGATGCAGACATATCACCAGTTGGCACAGTTCCCACAAAGTGTTTGCACAGAAATGAACCTGTAACATATCACATATAAAAATAAAGAATCATTATTGTATAAGCATGAAGTATATGCAATGTGCAAGAAAATTCCCTTTCGGTGTGGTGGATCAATTTCCATGCCAGATAAAGTAATGTGGGTAGCAGCCCATACTTTTCACCTACATTCATGTCTGAAGCTATAGGAAAACCTAGGATCTGAGCTCTAAGATTGAATTCTTTTCTTTGCCATTTTGGTCTACTGCAGAGCAAAGATATACACATGGAAGCTCAGGAAACCAAAACCCTGATATTCTAATTCCTTTTCTTCTGATTTTACAGGGTCATATGCATCACTTGATATCTAATTACTCCACAATTGATGGATTGCCACTGAATTGTTCACAGTCCATTGAAAGGCATTATGTTGAAGTAAGCAGAGGCGATAAAGTGAGGTAAGGTGATACAGCTGTTAGTGTCTGTTCTGCAATGGCTTCCACCAAAATGGAGAAGACCTTACAGGTGCATAGGAACCAAGCATAGGTTTGTTCCTGTACACTTTGAAGCTATCCTCTAACAATGGTTTCCTTCTATGTCTTGACTTCTTCCTACATACTAGTTTCACTTGATGCCAAACCATTAAATTATAAACAATAAATATGCATATATAAACCAGTCCTTAGATCAGGGATGTGATGAATTGGATCCTCTTGTGTTGTTGGACCAGCTCCCATCATCACTGATCATTGACCATGCTGGCTAGGGCTGATGGAAGCTGGATTCTAAGAACATCTGGACAGCCAAAGGCTCCCCGTCCCTTCCTTCCATTATACACTTTGGTGTAACTGCAGTCTTAGATGTCACTTCTCTAAATGCATTCCTATCTTTCAAAAAGTAACACACAAAGTGATTGCGAGAGAAAAGTGCATTCTGGCTGGGGCCCAATGTGGACTTTAAGAAGTAGTGGCCCGTACGGGCAGGGGTACCTTTACCTTTACCTAAGGGCAAAAGAAGCAAATTTTTCAGAAGGAAAAAGAAAACCATTTCTCAGTCTAATACAGGCGTTGCCAGAGATGGTGTGAGATGTTGGGAAAGTACTGCTGGTGTTGTTGGGTCTATGGTGGCTCCTTCACACATTCAACCCATCACCTAATGCTGTGGTCACCATGTGATAAACATTCAGGTTTATCACCAGCTGTTAAATAAATGGTTGGAAATAAAAGTTGATATCCGCCTTAAAAATCAGCAAAAAAAGTCCATCAATTTCAATGTGATTATGTTGTATGTTTTCAGAAGGATTTCTTTAAAAAAAGAGAGAAAAGATTATCTGTGGTGCATAATAAGCCAACTCAAATCATGAGCCAAATGTGTGATTATTTTATTCCCTGTAAAGAACAATGAGACTGTCATAATGTAGCTGTTAAAATTAAGCAATCAAGAGAACAGGACGCTGAAGTGTACACTTCTGACAAGCAGCATAGAAGATCTACAGGCAAAATTAAGATTCACGCCCGTAAATTTAAAATATAGGATATGGCATGGAGTTTAACAGCACTTATTTGCAATCATACTGAGAAATTAGGTGACATACTGTTAACTTCAGTCATTAAAATAATTATTCAACTTAGAAGAGATGTAACACAATTATATGCTAATTATGAAATTTGCCACTATCTTTAGAAGTTCAAAGATTGAACACCTTCAAAAACTATAATACATAGACTCTAACAAATCTGTAGGCCAAATGTTGTATTAGTTGCAAAATGTAACTTCTTTCTAATAATTATTTCTGGGTTCCATATTTCTTGCATATTCAAAATACAGGAAATAAATGGCTTGGGATGGATGCGAATCTCCTATAACTTCTGGTTTTGAGGAAGCAAAATCAAGTTATGTTCTGAGGAGGAAGTATTTTTTGAGGCTATTTTCTCAAAGCTCTCCTAGCATGGTATGATTGGGTTTTAGCACAGTTCAGTGGAGGCTGGTCCATTAGGGCAAAGTGCTCTGCTAACTTCATTCTGTCCTCAGCGATCCTCCACCTCCTTACCTCCTTACTTACAAGCCCAGGAGGTCACCCTGGCTGTCAGCTTCTTCCTTAGTCTCAATGTTGCCCTTGTAGAGCTCTGCAGGGAGATGGATGGGGGCAGAGCTAGAATTACTTGACTCCGCCTCTCATTGGCTCTGGCTTCACTTACTGTTGCTCTCACTGCCTTCTCCCTATCAGCAACAATGGGCACTAGCCACCACTGGCACAGATGCTGTGTTGGGGAAAGGACTTGTGCAAACCACTCAACCTAAAAACTGGTACCTGGAACAGGGATGAGCTAACTTCTGTCCTGTTTGGCCTCCTTTCTTCCCTGCACTCCCTGTACTCAACTGCTGTATGTTGTATTTACAACAGGAGAATACATAACCAGGATGTTTAAACAGTTAAGGCATAATTAATCTGTGTTGAGTGATCCTAAATAGGCATGCAAGAAGTGGTGCCTTCTAGATGGATTAGGTTATTATCCACCGTTCCAGGGTTCTTTGCAAGAATTCAGCTAGCAGCAAATCAGCTTGGCCCTCATCATTTGTCTTTCACCTATGAAAACCAGATTTCTCGTTCTGTGCTGAAATCCTAATTGCCTAGCAGCAAACAATTATATACCCACAACCCATGGAACAAAATGACCTACAACTTTGACTGTTTCTCAAGTCTTGTCTGCAGACTCTTTATCCCTCTGGAAAAAAATGGTTTGCCAAATTTTCATTTTCAAATGGCTAGCAAATACCAGTGGTGACATGCTGGCAGAAGTTCCTCTTGCCCTGAAGAAGTGCAAGTAGAACATAAACTGCCTTCTCCAATATTAAATCATCTGCTGCCTTCTGCCCTTTATGATCAGTGATACAGATCTTGTTCCATGTTCCATCTGGGCTAGGGAGTTCCATCTTAGCACCCTTTCTGTACTGGCACCTCAAGTCGTACTGGAAATCAAGTCGAGTTCTGATTTCCACTGCCAATCATATAAAAGATACATCTAAAACACTGTTTACAGACATGGATTGGTGGATTCATTTTTCATGGATGCAGCTTGATTTCTGTTGAGCTGTTTCTAAGAAATACGGCATTGTGTTAATATTCTGTTTTGCCATGATAGAAATAGAAATCCATAATTTGATGGATATATTGTCCAAGGTTGCTGCCAGATGACCTGTCTGTTGAGGGTCCATTCTGATTTGTTTGGACAAATTTCACAGGCAGTTTATATGATATTGGCTGTTCACTGAGCATCCGTCCTGATTTGTTGGTGAGGAGGTTATGCAATGTCATGTCAAGCAGTTGTCATCCCATACTTTATTGTACGCTTCTCTGTCACTTTTCTTAACTGCAAAACATCCATTTTTTAATGGAAGCAGGTTTGATACACAGGTGTTCCATATCCACTTCAGTTGTGCAACCTGAATTAGCACTGAAACCCACCTGCAAAACAGCAGGTGTCTGGAAGCACCCCAAGACACACAAGGGAGAAAATGATGGCCTGAGGGAGTACATTCCCTCTTCACACATTTCAGTCCTGGGATTCATAGAGAAGCGATTTAAAGCACCAACAATCAAACATTCATTTAATCCTGGCATAGGCAAACTTGGACCTCCAGATGTTTTGGGACTACAGCTCCCATCATCCCTAGCTAGCAGGACCAGTGGTCAGGGATGATGGGAATTATAGTCTCAAAAACATCTGGAGGGCCAAGTTTGCCTATGGCTGATTCAATCCCAAAATGCCACAGGCACATGCAACTTCCCCTCTCATCTACTGTAACAACCCGCCTGGCTGGGGAAGAAAAGACTTGCAGGACAAAAAAGAAGAAGGTGGCTGCTTGAGCAAGGCAAGCTGTATTTACTAGTATTTTTTTTTTTAAGAGGCCTTCACAGAGAGGGGATCAAGAGAGCTCAAGCTTGCCCTACCACGAGATGCAGTCACCCCTTTGCAGCTTCAGCTTCTGCTACTTTTAAGCATAAATCAGTTCCCTGAAAGCACCTTTTATTTATTCTGCTCGACTGGAATAATTCAATGGATGATTCACTTCAGTGAAGTTACTTTGCATGTAGCCAGCCCAAACCCAAAGGCAATCTTCTCATGGGCTTCTCACAACACATTTTCCACTGAAAATGGTAACAACAATAGTGATTACCCTTTTTTTCCTTTTTAAAACATGAAATGGGTGTCTGAAAATGTTTCCTAATTTCATGCCAGAAGGCAACTCACTTCTGTGGGCTTTGATTAGCTTGTGTACTGTTCACAGCCTGGAGCAATTTCTGTAAAATTAAGTTGGGGTTGGGCAGAGGAAAGTGGCCTCTCTCAAGACAAGTGCCAAGAGATGGCTTTTTGCTAAACCTCACCTCTAAACTTCATTTTGTAACTTGGGTACCAAAGATTTAGAAAAATAGTGGGCTAAAGCAGAAAGAGCACATTTGCTACAAAATAAGCTCCATTTTGTTCCGTGAAGTTACTTTGTTCTCAGTGGGAATTTATTTTTAATTCCATTTAAGTCCCATCTTTTCCTCCAAGGAGCTCCAGTTGGCATACATATGGTTGTCCGCCTCCTCATTTAATTCTCACAACAACCATGTGATATAGGTTATGCTGAGAGGCAGTGACTGGCCCAAGTCACCCAATGAACTTCATGGCAAAAATAGGATTTGAGCCCTGGTCTCCCATGTCCTAGTCTGACAGTCTAACCAGTAGAGGCAAACCCCCTCCTCCCACTTATGTGAGGGTTACGTTCCACGTCATCACATGGGTACACCTGTCCCGTTCTGTCCTCTTCCAGTTGGCATTTGTGTATGCAGTCACACATGCATTGAATGTAAACAAAATGGGAGTTGCCTGTATTCCACATTGGCTGGAATCAGTTGGAATCATTCCTTTGAAATGGGTGGCATGAGTGCAGTTTAAAATAGACTTTTTGGATACAAGCACTACCAAAATCTATGTAACTTACTTTTAAGTAGGTGTGCTTAGTTAGGGCTGCAATCCTGTATCTGGTTACCTGGGAGCAAGCCACATTGAGTTAAATGTATAGGATTGCACTGTAAGATCAGGGCATTTTTTTAAAAATTTTTATTGTCTTGGCTTTCAATTGCCTCACAACTGTTAAGCATTGCTGAAGGTTTTATTCTTCCCATGTTGTGCTGTATGAATTTCATGTGCAATAAACTGTCCTCCAGCAAATGTCTTTTCGTATAGATCAGTATTCCACAACCTGAGGTCCTCAGATATTGTTGAACTACGACCCACATATCCCCAAGTCAGCATGACAAATGGTCAAGGATAATGAGAGCTGTAGTCTAACAAAAACTCAGGATGAAAAGTTGGAGGAGGTTGGTTTGGGTTTATTAAATGTCTTGCTTCCCACTGCAAAATGTCCCGAAGTGATTCACAAACAGAGCACAAAAACAATAATTAAAAAA